TATTTTATCTCCATCTTTATAAATAAGTCCACCAGCTTGGGGGGCGGGGATAGTTGTGGATAAGATATTTTTACTGTACCTTTAAACTGTAGTCTGGGTCTTGGATATGGCAGCTGGAAGAGAGCCTTCACCTCGTCCTCTTAGAGTGAATGGTGCGGACTCCGCTGCGCTTGAGTCCATCACCACTGCCTACGCCTCAGCTGACATCGCCGCAGTGAGAGAGCGATGTGTGTGTGTGTGCAGCACTTAACTCCAGCTCTGTACTTTGGCCATGTTTAAAAGTTCCCACGGTACACAGACAGTGTGTAAGAGTTCCGCTTAAGTGAGTTGATTTCTAGTCATGCATACTTATATTTTGAAGGCCTTCAAAAATTTACTAACCTGCTATTTCTGAAAATCTTCTACCATTATATCAACACAACAAAAAAAGGCAGAATATTATTTCAAAAGAAGGACCTAAGCAGACCTTTGATAAGTTAACTATATGCATTTTACTACTTTGGGGCTGTATGATCTTTTGTTAAAAGAGAATACTTGTTTCAGGGTTTTTACAAGTGAGTCTGTTACACTTCAGACAAATATATAAAATAGTAAGTAAATGTCATTCAAATTTGCAGTGGGAATAAAAAATGACAAATGAAGAACTCAAGTTACTCACCAACTAACTAAAATCTATTTCCGAAAGATTGAAAGAATAACTAGATATAATCCTGAACTCTCCATGCTTTTGTTTTAGCACCGAGGACCATAGACTTTAAAGTAAGCTTAAAAGAAATCTCACTCAGTGAGCTCCTTGGCAACAATGACATTGTGGAGGGCCCAGCGTTCAGCTCTTCTGTGGTCAGAGCTGTTTCTTCATCCTAACACGATGAGCGCACAGAGCTGCGCTTCCCCTTACTCTGTACCCATCAAAGGCTCTCTTCCTAATTTTTAAAAGGCAAAACAAGCACAATTTTTTGTGACATTTATATTATCACATACAATTTCTGTTTTAAAAGTATTTCAGAAAAGTGAATTGTGGAGTTGGTCTTTGGAGTTTTTCATTAGGCTGCAAAGGAAGAGGGAAGGGATGGGTCTGGCCTTTCTGGATTTGGTGTTCAGAGGTGAGCAGCTAACAACAGACCTCTTCGCAAATGCCAGGTGACATCTCAGGCATGTGAAGAGACACTTGGATCTGCATAAGCACACTGAAATATTGTGTTCCACACTTCGAGATTAGGGTCTACGCACTACTGTGTAATACAACAATCGACTGTATTTCCTAAATTTACTTTTCTTCCTAGGAGGGAATCCACAAAAAGTTTGACTGTATATCTTCTCATTTTATTTATCTATCATTGTTAATATATTGAAAAGAAGTAGAAACTGTCTGTTCTACACGGCATAAAACAGAGTATTTTTAAAAGATGTATATTTTATTTCGTGTGTCTGAATGTTCTGCGCACGCATACATAATGCACCACACATGTGCCTTGTACCCTCAGAGGTCAGAAGGAGGCAGGCACAGGAGTCCCCGGGCCTGGAATCACAGACAATTCTCAGCCGCTAGGTGGGTTCCGGAAATTAAACCCTGATCTTCTGCAAGAGCAACAAGTGCTCTTAGTGACTGAGCCATCTCTCTAGCCTTAATACAGAGTACTTTTAAAGAATATAGCTAGTAGAGTGGTGCTTTAAAGTCACTTTTTAAAGCAAATGTTTTGTGTTGTTATCTTTTAAACAACTCAGCTGTGCTGTGTCTATTAGCAAGGGGGATGAAATGATGTTTTTCACTCTAGTCCTTCCAAAGGAAATGCTCAGAGGTCGTAGAAACTATTTCCAAAATAATGGATGGGTGGAATGACTCTGGGTCGGCTGTGCCCTGCCTTTGAACCAGCACAAAGGATAAAGCGTACACAGTTTTCCTAGTGATTGGCAAGGACTGTTCCTTAACTGGATGCTCCCGTGGGTTCACAGTTCCTCAAATACGACATGACAAGAAAACAAGAAAAACAGAACACCTGTGAGAGAGTATCAGCCACCTCGTCACAGGGAAACCGAGGACAAGGGACTAAAATAATAGAATCCGTGAATTATGTGGGAGTCTCACACTGTTCATATGCTTCCTGATAACTGCTCAAAATCTGCCCTACTGTTACCCTGAAAGGCTTGCATTCTCATAACAGTGATTATGGGGAAAGAAGTAATATGGCCAGCTTTAAAATAGGTAGGACGGTTTGCCCTCTGGTTAGGCAGAACAGAACTGCTAAGAAATCAACACAAAAGACTTTTCCTTCATTTCAAACATTTTCTATAAAATACATATTCTTCCCCACCACAGGCAGAGTCTGGTTGATAAATCCACATGAGAAAACCTAAGGACAGAAAGGACAAATTCATGAAATCATGGAAAATCCCTAAATTACATGGAGACAGACCTGTTTTGGCTGCTTGGGATAATGCACTCTCCTGTACTATATGACAAAGTTATTATGTGAGCTTTCCCTCATGTTTCTGTCCCTGCTGAAAAATTTAAGCCACATAGCAATTTGGGTCCATTACAGAATCCTGGCTTCTTTTTTATGATAGTTACTAATTAAAAGTGTTGCTGCCATGAGCCTGAGTCTTTGACTAAAAAGCCCTCACAGAAAAAACGAAAATAGAGATACAGCCAGTGTTGCAAGCTGTTAGGTTTCAAGTGGGTGGGGAAGATTAATGAAGGTCAGTAAAAAGCTGTGCAGAGAAGCAATGGGTAATGGTCCTCTTCAAAGGGAGAGTTCTAAGGTTTTATTAATTGGCGTGTGCATGAGTGTGCGCGTGCATGTAAGTGCAGGTTCCAACCACAGCTGGACTTGTGGGGAGTTTCGAGTTGGTCGCTGTGGGCGCTGGAACAGAACTGATGTCCTGTGCAAGAGCATTGAAAGCTCTTCACCTCTGAGCCATCTCTGCAGCCCTGGGAGGAAGAGCCTCCGATGGAAGCCTGAAACAGTACTGATCTCTCTAACTCCGGTGCCCACTTTCCCAGTTGTTCCCCCATCCCCCAAGCTGAAATGTAATTTTACAAGAGTCACTTTTAGAGACTGAGGAATGGGATATTTTAATATAATCCTGAATATAGGTTTAGATTGAAAATGGGAATTGGGACCATAATTAATTATGTTGCCAAGTTTTTTAAACTCTGAAAAAGCAAAAGGATGAACAGGCTCACGAGTTAAAACTGGTAAAACGACAGTATCTTTTTTGACAGTTGATTAATCCCATATGCGGAATGAGTGTGGGGAATGAAGACAGTGGTGGTGTTGGCGCTTTCGGAAACCACCGTAATAAGAGGCTGACGTGAAACCAAGAGAGTGTAGACGCGGACTTCAGCTCGGGTGACGGCCTTATTAGCACTCGTAATAAGTAATAATGAATAATACTAAATACTGCCCCCACCCCCAGCACAGCTGCTCCATGCGCATCGCCTCTTGCACCCATCCATCACTCTTTCAGGATAAGAAAACAATTCAAACGCGTACAACCCTCAGCAGCCGCCCCTCCGGAGGAGGAGGGGTGTTTTATCTCCACTTCTGTGAGCCCAGGGAGGGTTTTACTTGCTTAAGTGGGTTAGGAATGGCGTGGGGGTCCTGTTTATTACCATTGATGAATCCACTAGTAATCACAGGCACTCGGAAACTTGGGGGGTGGGGGAAGACCCTCTTCTCAAAAAAAAAAAAAAAAAGAAAAAGAAAAGAAAGAACACAGAAAAAAAGGGCCACAAAGCAAGTAGGGGGAGGGGAAGGTAGAGGGGAAGCTGGAGACCCGCAGCTCAAGGCAAATAAACAAATAATGCATTCCCTGTGATTTAGCAGGACTGAAAGACAAGAAGTAAACAGATAGCCACCCCAAGTTACTTAAAAGAGCTACAAAAAAAAAGTCAAAACCAGAGACTTGTCTAAGGTTCATTCTCCCACTCCGGGTCTTGGTTTCAGGGAACTAAGGGTCTGCAGAGCAGATAATGGACAGCCTGCTCTGGTGGGCCAAAGAGGAGGGCGGTGACCTGTGGAGGGCTGGGTGAGCCAGCCGGAGGTGCCCCGGCCAGAGAGGACCTAAGGCAGCTGGAGCGAGCGACTTCGGGAACTCACATCTCGCCCTGCGACGGGAAGAGAAGAGTGAGAATGAAGGCAGAGCGACAAGTTGAGAGGGCACCCCACGAAGCAGTTTGCGGAGCGCCCGGAGGAGCGGAGCTGGCGCTCGGGCTCCCGAGGCTCCCTGCCGCCGCGACCAGGAGCGGCAGCGCAGACCCGATCGCGCTCCGGCTGGCACACACACTGGGGAGGTCACCGCGCAGGGCGGCCCCTTCGCCGGGAGGGCGTCCCGACCTCCGCGGCTGCCAGGCTCCGCCGCGGGGAGCGCGAGCGCGACCCAGACCACCCAGCTTAGGGAAGTCCCTCTAGGGATGCTGGCCCGCCCGGCAGAGGACAGACCAGGAGAGCGCGCGGGGTCGCCGGACGCGTCCCAGAGACCCCTGCCGCCGCCGCGCCGCGCCGCCACCTTCTGAAGGGAGCCCGCTCCGTACTCCCGCCGCGGGTCCCGCAACCTTCAAAGACCCACGCCAGTGCCCCCACCTCCTCAACGCCCAGTCCCGCCGAACTAAGGAAGGGAGGGGGGCGTCGAACCGCGGGAGACAAGCAAGAGCCCAGCATCACCACGCCAAAGAGGGTGTCAGGGCAGGGCTGGATAAAAGCGGCGGTTCTGGGGACCCTCTGGAGCCCGAGACGGCGTGTCCACCTCTCCGACCCCGACGCTGTGTCTGCCCACCTAACTGCGCTCACAGCGCCCCAGCCACAGACCGGCCAGGCAAGCCCAGGGAGCGCTGCCCATGTTCGTGTCCTAGGCGCCGGGGCTCGCGCCCTCCCCAGCCCAAGGAAGCACCTCACCCCCGACCCTAAGCCAGCCCGTGGGTGCAAACGCAGTCCGGCCAGGTCTGCGCCGGTGCAGGAAGGCGTCTGGGAGGCGGGGATTGCCTCGCTCTTGCTCCTTACCTTCAAGAATTTGTTTGTTTTTCCTAGCGGGAGGAGGAAAGTTTGGTTGGTTTGGTTTCGTTGTGTTTTTTTTCCTCCCGGAGGGTGTGATGTGCGGGGAAAGTCCAGGTCCCCGGATCCCACCTAGATGACAAGTACCAGGATCCACGAACCGAGGGGACCGGCGCGCTAGCGCACAGGCAGACGGAAGAATAAAATTCGATTGCCCAACTGTCCCAACTTTGCTGCGGGCGCTGCAAACTTCCGAGGCGTGCAGAAGGCCGGCGACACGCGGCCGCAGGAGTTGCAGCGAAGTGGCGCAGGCGGAGGCGCCGGGCCGGGGTCCCGGGGCAGCGCGGGAGGAGGCGGGCGGCGGGCGGCGGAAGGATGCTGAAGGCGCCCGGGGAGGCGGCGCCGCTGGACCTGCGGGCTCGCTGAGCGCCGGCGCGGGCTGCAGGGGCAGAGCCCGGTGCGCGGCGACAGGCGCTGACTCCTAGGCGGCCGGCACGCTAAGCTCTGCTCCCTCGCGGCTCCGGCTAAGGAGTGCGCGCTGGCTCCGAGTGTCACTGCAGAAGCCTGAGCCTCTGCCCCTCCCAGCCCGCCCGCCGCCGCTGCCCGCTGCCCCGCCTTCCTCTGCCCGCCGCTCCCCCTCAGTGCCTCCCTCACTCTCTCCCGCTGCGCGCCAGCGTGCAATACACACACACACACACACACACACACACACACACACACACA